AGATTGCACTGGTCCTCATCTTGTATATGGGGCATTCTACCGATTGTGTGCAAAGCGCTGTCCCTTAACAAAACAAACAACAAAAATAATAAGAATATTCAGACATAGATATTTACAAAGATTATGTTATGACCTATTTAAACCCAGGACATTAAATGAAAAAGTGATGAAATAAAAAAATGAAAAAGCTAAATATATACACAATCACCATTTATAGGGTGCTTTCTGTTGGGAAGTAGCTGTCCCTAATCCTGACCTCTAAAATTCAATTGATGTAAATATCACTTAAAACATTTTTCATATTTTTTTCAAAAGTGTAATTTAAAACATCTTTATGATTAAGTTTAAACAGAAGTTGAAAGATTTAGATGTATTGTGGGATTAATTTTTGGTCTACTCTATTCTATTCTGCTCTTCTTTGCTCTGCTCTACTCTACTATACTCTGCTCTATTCTATAATCTGCTCTACTCTACTCTACTCTGGTCTACTCTATAATTTATTCTTCTCTACCCTACTCTGCTCTACTCTATACTCTACTCTTCTCTACTCTATTCTGCTCTGCTCTACTCTGCTCTACTCTGCTCTACTTTGCTCTATTCTACTATACTCTGGTCCACTACACTCTTCTATGCTCTGCTCTATTCTGCTCCACTCTACTCTACTCTACTCTACTCTACTCTGCTCTACCCTCTCAAAAAATAAATTGTTTTATTGACCACAAAACATTTGTCTTTGAATTTGTAATTCCCACCATAAGGCATACATTTGAGGAAATATGATGCAACATTAAAAACGGTATAATGGTCACTACCGAAAAACAGGACAGTCACTACTGAAACAGGACAGTCACTACCGAAACACTGGGTGTTTTGTAAAAAATAAAGTATATTGAGTTATCAACTAAAGTATTATGATGCTAAAGGGTTACATTTATGTTCTGTTTCATCAATTATTAACTCTGAAATCAATCTGATCAGCATTATGCATTTTAGAAAGAAAGACTGCATTTAGATTTTGAAGAATTCTATAATTTGAACTTTGAAATTTGTTAAAATATTAATTTTTATAGATTTAATTGTGAAAACCTTCAGTCAAAATTTGTAAAAATTAAAATCTTTAAACAAGGGAAGGAACAAGCATAACAGGTTGATATATATTTTTTTGTATAATATAATACTATATGTTTTGGTAGTGACAAATTTTGGGAGAGGAAAAACATTCCAAAACAGTCTGAAAATACAATATAAAATTTACAGTCATTTTACTAGATATGTGACCTTTACATATGGTACAATATATATAGGGACAAAGTTTTGGAAATAAAACATACAAAATTTCAAAATATTTCCAGCCCAACTTTGCACACATTCTGTAGAATGCCCCATATAATGTGTGTAGAATATTAATTACATTAACATATTAAAGAAGGATATTGTTATCCACTGAAATAGCTTGACCTTATTTGCTGAAATATGGTGATGCTAGCAGAGAAATATCCCCCTGTTCCCTAAAATGCCTAGATCTGTGACCAACCTTCACTTTGTCATAAGCAACAAATGCACTGGCAAAATAATTATATTGACATCACTTTAAGGTTACATGTGGTTATACTCTGTCTTTCAAGTATTGTGTGTTTATCTACAGCCGGATATATCTTCTTCCTCTGTGTCAAAGAGCTCCGTTCTTGTTAAAAACACATCAGTGAGACACATTGTTGCACTGGGTGACGTGTTCTGTCATTATCATGAACACACACACACTATAGTTTAATTTGACTCAGTATCACATATACTGTCCTGCTGCACCAAATACTTGAGCACCAAATGTGGATTTGTCCAGCACTGAAAACAGTTCCCAACAAATGCATTATTTCCTCTTGTTTGATTTGATAAAAACTACTGTGACCAGCTGTTTTAGGAAATTACTGAGCCTTTTTTAAAATGAAACTATATATTTGTGAGGTGTTTTTAAAGATTTACATTTTCAGTAGGACCAAATGAGTTTAGAGCTGAGAGCCACAGACAGGAAGACAGAAAGTACTGAGGGACTGACCTACATAATGTTTTCTGAGATTTGTTAAGACTGAAAGTTTTAGGTGTTTAACTATAAATCATAAAGAGTTTATATTTTTTCTAAAAATTTCCAAATGCACTCTGACATTTAGAAGCAAATGTTCCAGACAGCTCTTGGTTTCCAGCCCTGTCTCCTAGATATTGCATTCATATAGTACTACATCCCCCCCAATTACACTGACAAACCAATTACATGCTGAAAAATTATTATGTCTGCCTGGAATATGTTCACTGTTAACATTTTTTTGAGTGAAAAAAGTGCTTCATCCTGACTCCTGTCTGTGGTTAGGATTAGGCAATGAGCACTTTGTCTGCAGACATTTCTATATTAAACCAGAGCACAGTCTTTCCCTTACCTTAACAAAGTGCTGTGTGTCTAAATATAACCATAAAAAAGTGAAATAAGGCAGTAGTCTCTACAAGCAGATATTATGATGCAAGACTGATATGTTGGCAGAAAAAAAACGTATGTAAAAAAATATGTCATCAGTTAACATTTTACTGACCCATACTATATCAACACTTTTGCAACTTGTCAGATATGTTAATTAGCAACATCTCATTATGTTAACAGAAAAAGTACTTTGGCCAGCACTACAGTTCCTTCAAAATGCAGTTACACATTTTGAAAAATAAAGTCCTGTCTCAATGAGACGCCTGGTCTGGTTGCAAAGTAGTTTATTTTTTAATAGAAGTCCTTCAGGTGTATAAAACTGGGTTGTTGGCTACCTCAAATTATGTGTCCATTTATATTCCTTTAGTCTGTAAGGGTGCACCGATCAAAAGAATCATAAAAATTCATAAAAATGAATGAGTTGTGAGTATTGTTTTAATAGGATAAAGTGGTGTTGTGTCGGTATGCCTGGTGCCCTAATCGTAACTCTCTCTGTTGGAGCTAGATCAAATGAATGTTTCATAATTAATGTATTATTCAAAGCCTATTAAACAAGTAATGTTCATACTGGTTTAGAGCAATTTGATTGTATTTCCCAATCTTTGCTGAGCAAAGGTTTTGTGTGAAAGGAATTAAAGGCCTGTCCCATATTGATGCCTGTCCCAAATAAAAGCCTGTTGAGTTCAGTGATTTAAGCAAATAATAGACCGGGCTGTTAATTGAAGTTTTACGGTATGCTGCCTCTGAGCAATCTGCTTAACCCCAGTAGTGGTATTGCTTACCAGTGTTATGGTGACAACACACAGCTTTACTTTCAATTAAACCTAATAATCTCAATAACCTCGACACCCTAAGGAGGTCAGTCAGTTTTTTTAGGCCCCCTCGTTAGCAAAACTAAGACTGTCTCTACAACTCTTGGTATCCTGTTTGACCAACGTTTGAACTTCAAATCTCATATTACTTAACTCATTCAGTTGTGTTTTTTCCAGTTGAGAAATACTGCAAAAATCAAACCAATGCTATCATCAAAAAACTTCTTACTATTGCAACTCCCTCTTAACTGGTATTATGCAGTCCTCCTCTGTTGCTTGACTTCAGATTGTACATAATACAACAGCAAGGTTGATAACAAAAACTAGTTGTCGGTCCCACACCACCCCAATTCTTGCCTCCCTTCGTTGGCTTCCAGTTAGACATAGAATTGATTTAAAAATTGTACTAATTACTTACAAGGCCTTGCAGGCCTGGCCCCTGCATATATAATAAACCAATCGGCTATTAGATCATCTGATTAAGGCCTCCTGAATGTTCCCTGTTCCTGTTTTAAATCCAGAGGTGAGCATGCCTTTGCACATGTTGCTCCCAAACTCTGGGACAGCCTTCCCCATGTCATCAGAAGTGCTGAATCTGTGTTTTGCTTTAAGCTGCACATGAAAACTCATCTCTATAGACTGGCCTTTTTTATAAATTCTCTCTGTATGCAATTAGTTCTGCGAATTTTGGTCATGTAATGCTTGTGTAAATATTATCCACATGTATATGTATATGTGTGTATGTGTGAATATACGTGTATTTGAACTTTTATGTGTGGATCTTATCTAAATGTGAAACACTTTGTAACTGTATGTTTTAAAAAGTGCTATATGAATAAAATTATTATTATGATTTCCGTGATAGATTACATAACTCATGCTACTTTCAAAGGCTACACAATTTTTAAGCATGGCTGCATAGTTTGTAGAATGGTTATCTTTATATAAAGCATGTGTGATTTGCAGTAAATTGACTGCGACATGCAAAGTCAGTTGCATGTCTCTTTAAGATCTTGCAGCCTTACACCGTCTTCTCTGTCTACATGTGCACATGTGGGACGGTCTGCCCTGTCCTATCTGCTCCTCCGCTGTTAGAGCAAATCACTGTTCTAAGACTTCTCCTGCTAGTAAGATTCCTGATGAACTTCATTTGACCAAATAAGGGATCACAGATACAACTGTAGATCCCCCTGCCCCCCCCTCCCCGCCCAGATTTAGAACTGATGGCATTTAAAACAGTTCTCCATAAACACTGTTTATATCTACTAAATTGCCTCTGTGCTCTCTCAGACCTGACTGAATTGTTAAAAGACTCTCAGCAGTGACATGAAGAGAAGATGGAAACTATTTTCCTGGTGTCAGTCATTACTAATTTGCTTCAGAAAATACATCAATGTCTCTCTATAGTTCATAATAAGGCCTGCAAGTAATACAGAGATCCTAACCTATGCACATCTCTAATGTATAGTATTTGACAACCTTTCCATCTTTTATCCTCTCTGCTCCAGCACTGCCTGCCTCCCTTCATGTCTTTTGATTCTTCCTGTACTAGCTTCTACTGATAATGACCTGATTGACAACAAAACATAGCAAAATTATCTACAAAATACCTTTAGTTATATTTTAATAATGAAAAAGATCATTTTTCTAAAAGCTGCAGTCAGTAAAATATTTACTTGTTCTGCACATGAATGTGACATGTCTTCATGCTGTTGTCGTAGGGCATTTGATAACAGTGGACTCAGCCTCCTTACGAGACCAGGAGCAGGCGGTTCTCATCAGTCCAGTTCTGGACCAGCAGGAATGGAGCTGTGTGAGGCTTGTGTACCAGATCACTGGACGGAGTTCCCTGCAGCTCCACCTCAGACCTGATGGTGATAACTTTGACTACTGCCTCTGGAATGCCAACAAAGCCTCTGACAGCTGGCTCATTGCTAGTGTGGACCTACCCAACACCACGATCCCCTACCAGGTAAGATTGATTGAAAAGACCATAACCATAGTGATCCCTGTTAGGCTGAAGTTTGCTCAGTTCTGAACATCAGATGTAGTTTTTCTTGCTGAAGATCTTGGAAAGTGGTACAGAGTCAGTATCAGTATTAGTATCAGTAGTCAGTATTTATAGGTCTCATAAATGTGTGGCTGTCAAATTACTACGACAGGGTAACTGCAGCCAGTTTAATAATCCTGATTAGTTAATAATCTGTTTCCACAAGAGGAACTTTTCCAATAACTCAAAAACTTGACCTGTGTGTGACCACAGGAACCTGGGTCTTAATTCAGTAGTGCTTTCTGATGGCCCAGGAACTCTCTTGGTGGAGTCTGCAGTACTGAATGTCTGTGATTGGTCCTAAAATACCCAGGCTGTTTTAACTTACAGTACAGCTTCATTCCCACAGTGATCTGCTGTGAAATGAATGACCCTCACACACGGTTGCTACTTTGGATGTAGTTGTTCTGGGGTTTTCAGTCTCCACTTTTTCATGCCTGCTTTTTTATCAATTCATCACATCCATTCAAAGATCAGTTGTGCCGTGGTAAATACAAAGAACAACTTCATGACTGTGTTGTTGTTGTTTCCCTGTGTGTGACAATTATGTCTCGGAAACAATCAGGGTGGAGGGCACACATTCAGAAACTTTTACAGGTGCTGGTTAAAAAAAATCTAACTAAGGCAAGAACCAGACAAGAGATCTGTACACTGAATTAAAAGCTCCCAGTAATTTTAATTGTGCAACATTTCAGTCTAACAATATTATATTCCTTATAATATTCCTTATTATATTCCTTTTCTGGAGCATGCTATAGTATATTTTTTAACATATTCTTTTGACATGTTTTTCAGTTTTTTTCAACTTTTTATGTCTCCATGCTAGTAATAGCCATGGCTGGAGGCATTGTGTTTTCAGTCTGACTGTCCATCTATACCCACGTATTGGGTATCCTTGTGAACATGTCTCAAGATATTGAGATATGAGGGAATTTCTTTAAATTAGTCACAAATGTCCTCTTTGACCCAACGATGAACTGACTAGTTTTTGGTGGTCTTAGGTCAAAGGTCAAGGTTACTGTGACCTTGTCTGTCTCATTCTTGTGAACATCTTCTGATCTCAAGATCGCTGTGAGGGAATTTCTTCAAATTTGGCACAAACATTCACTTGGATTCGAGGGTGAGCTGATTAGATTTTGGTAGTCAAGGGTCAAAGGTCAGGGTCACTGTGACCTTGCACTCATCTCATTCTTGTGAACACAATATCTCAAGAACACCGTGAGGGAATTCCTTGGCACAAATGTTCACCTGGACTTAACAATGCACTGATTGGATTTTGGTGGTCAAAGGTCAAGGTCAGCATGACCAATAATCGACAAACAGTGGCCGACAATCCTGCAGAGTATACCTTTAAGAAAATCTCATTGATAGCTTCATATTTTACTGAAAAATGTCATATAACTAACTGCAGTTAACATTTACTTAGATTGTAGTCCTGTTAAGCATGTGTGATTTCTTTATTCCCAACATTATCTGTCAATGCATGGAAAAACTGCTTTTATGCAAGATATCATAAACCCATAGCAATATGATCACAAACAGAAATGTCTACATTAGATTCTGATGCAGTTAATCACCAAGTGGCTGCCAATGCATTGTGTCTGCAGAGGACACGTTCACCTCGTTGAAATGAGTCTGCAGGTTTTGCTGATGATTTGTAAAAAGCAGTATAGTACACAGCCCACAGCTGGCAGTTGATAAATGATACTTTGTGCACAAGGGCAGGTGCGTTCCATTTCATCCTCAGCTCCACCCCTACCCACTTTCCCTCTGCTCTCCAAGTGGCCTCTGTGCCACGTATGCTGTTAAGTAATTCCAAGGGCTGAGGGTAAGGGAATGAGAAGAAATGGACCTATTAATAAAACACACTGGCTTCCTGTAAGTGGCCTGTGGATAATTTGGGAGAGGCTGTCTGACTGTTTCAGAGGTTAAATGAACAGTTAGTTAAGCTACTTTTATTTTAATGGACTATAAATCGTTCAGAAACAGACTAGAGTAAACATCCCCTCCTGCTTTGTTTAGCAGTGTTATTATGGTGTTAATATTTGTAATTTAATATTTTTAATTGTTTGTTCATGTATGCCTGTATGTACAGGGTGTGGTGTATATGTGTTTAATGCTCTGTGCTGTCCTGTAAAGCTGATTGTGTTCTTTTAAAATGACACGTTATAAATAAGATTTTGCTTGCTATTCTAAATTTAAAGAAAGCTGACCCTCCTTAAATACAGAGTGAGTTTGAGGCCAAAGGCCCACAAGTTCTCTAAAAGAGGCAATGATGTCATCTAAGCCTCCCACAGCAGCTTCCTTATTGTCAACCAGAGCATTAGCCTCCTCCATGCAGTCCTCCTTAGAGAGAACATCTTAAAGTGAATGTACAGAACCTGAAGAAGACTAAATGATACAACATGGTAGGTTGAAGCTCTGTAATGGAGACTGAGAGGTTGTTCCACATGCCATGCCGAGTTATGAGGGGAAACAGAGCTACATGTTGGTACTTAAAGTAATGGCAAACATTTAAAGGAGGACTATCTTAAATCACTGAAGTATGGCTGCAGAGCAGTGTTTATAGCTTGAGGATTAGTACTGCATTATTGGCAAATGTGCTCTGAAGCACTGACTGGAAGGGTTTGTGGGCTGATATGAACTCATTTACAATTTGTAGGTTCATCAGTCCACCTCCAATATATGACCCGATGTGTTAAATCTGACAGAGAGGTAATGTGGAATGTGACTAACTACATTTACAAAAGTACTGAACTTAATAGAACACAAATTATGTACTCACCACAAAGAAAATGTGGTTTTCTCACATGCCTCCATGGTGAAGGGAGAATCCAAAAAAGGTGAACATTCTTTGTGAATTAAAGTCATAGAAAACCACGTTTAATAACAGCAAATCTATACAGAAATATCAATTTATGAACTCTCACACAGCTCATGCAGTATAATCCAAGTTTATCCAGTCTCACTTCCACCTACGAATAACATGCCCTGTTGTTACCTGAACACATGGGTGCGCTTGAGCTTCACTTGTTCAGACTTTACACACATTTCTTGGCTATGCATAATACTGTTTGTACTGACAAACAGACTTTACACCCTATGACGTCACAGATTTGAATTTTAGCGTTTTTGGCGTCAGAAAAGAGTTGTTCATTTTTACTCATATTTTTGGACTGTCTTAGACAGTGTAGTTCCCCTTTAAATTGTAATGTTTTTGTGAAAATGCATGTGTTTGGGAAGTACAAGCATAATCTGGATAAATGAGACATGGATTATACTGCGATGTTTTGATATAGTTTTGCTGTTGTTAAACAAGGTCCCTGTTTATTTCAATTCTAAAAGAATGTTTGCCTCTTTATGCCTCTGCACCTGCAACAGATATGGCAGAGGCATTACATTTTCGGATTGTCTGTCCGTTGGTCCCATTCTTGTGAATGCAATGTCTCAAGAACACCTTCAAGCAGGGAATTTTTTCAAATTTTGCACAAATGTCTAAACGGACTAAAGGATGAAGTGAATATAATCCGGTAGTCAAAGGTCGAGGTCACTGTGAGCTTGCATCCATTTTATTCTTGTGAATATGATATCTCACAAAAGCCATGAGAGAATTTATTCGAATTTGGCACAAATGTCTTCTTTGACTAATGAATGAACTGGTCAGAACTTGTTGGTCAAGGGTCAAAGGTCATCGTGACCTTACAAAACATGTTTTTGGTCATAGCTCAAAAGTTCATATGCTAGTTATGACAAAATTTCACACAGATGTAATAGGATAAAATGAAGTGAAGACATAGTTAGATGCAACACAATTCTCTCAGAAAAGATTATGTCTCGATGCAAAAATGTGTGTGTGTGAATAGGCAAAGCCCCACCCTCATAGAAACACAGAGAGGAGAGAAGATGTACAACCATAAAAGACAGCAAGACACAGTAAAGGCTTTCACACTAAATCAGGGTAAATATCAGTAACCGTAATCTTTTTTTAATTGCATTGTAGCCTTCTGACTCAGAATCAAATTGAATGTGAGGTGCCAATAGATTCCCAATCCTAACGTGATGTAGATCAAATCTTGATATAAAAGCCACATGATGTGAAGCAGTGTTGGTGTGACATGATCCATGAATCCATCCCAGTTTGTCATTAAGTCTCTGTTTTGCTCCACAGGTGTTGCTGGAGGGTCGACCTGAGCGTGGCTCTGGGAACAGCGTGGCCATCTTTGAAATCCACATTGTTCCTGGTTACTGTATAGGTCAGTGTCTTATGTCAAGAGACAAGTTTCATCCTTCATGTGTCATCTGATATTAAACTGTATTTATTCATACACAATATGTAAGGCTGAGTAAGGAATAATGGTTGTATTTGCTGTTCCTATTACCAGAGTGTAATTTTGAGGAGCACCACCTGTGTGGCTATAGTAACAGCTGGAACCCAAATGTCAACTGGTACGTTGGGGGGAGTGTGGCAAGAGAGTCTAACCACACCAACAGTAACCAGAGAGGTATATATATGAGATATATGCACACACACACACACACACACACACACACACACACACACACACACACACGCACAGAGTACATACATACATTCACAGCTGCGCATGTGCATGTTTATTGCACCAGCAGCTCATTTTAACAGTTGGATCTGTTAGTCAAAGACTTGGTTGTTGTCCACAGTCAAAAGCAAGTTTATTTTTCTGTTTTTAAAAGACATTCAAAAAACAATTAAATTCTTGATTTACACTGAGTTACATACACATTCAGTTATACACATTCTATATATATAGTAACATTACATAACTAACCTGCATTTCAACAGCAGCCCAGTTTTATTGCAGAAAAATCAACAGTCATCAAAATGTCTTTTCAATGCATTACTGCACCCCATTCCATCCTCCTCTGTCTGTTTCTATGATCAGTATGTTTCTAACTCTTCAAACACATACTTTTGCCAAAATTTGGCTAAATATACAGCTTCCTTTTGTCACCAATGTGGTTAGCTGTTTACGTCTTCAGCTTCCAACTGGTTATTATTGTGCAGTGTGCAGGACAGTCCTGAGGTCTGACTGCTGCAGACACACTGTTCATTTTGCTTAGGATGGGAGCAAACGTGGGAGCAATTTTGACATCATATTTTTAGGCCTGTGGCTGCAGCATAACAGTACACCACTGTGGCTTGATGTCTGAGAGAGCCAGAGGAGATTCCCCTGAATTTTACATTTTTATTATAAGATAAGAACAAATCATGTGACAGTTCCAAGCTATCACAAAGTAGATGAGTGGAATTTTTACAGATCACTGTCCGTATGAACATCCTCCATTATTAAACAAAACAAAACAAAACAAAAAGTTGTCCATCTCCACAACTATGAAGTCTGCATGGACTTTCGACTTCATGTCAAATATCCCTTCCTTGTTTCTGTCACATACAAATATTATTAGTTGCACTGTTAAATAGGTTCTGTTTCTGTCTGCTGGCAGCAAGACTGAAAGCCTCACACTTTGAAGTTCTTTGTTTTCACTCTTTCGTAACATTTTTGTCTCCTGGTGGGGATCATGCGTTTATTTGTGTGTGTGTAAGTGTGTATCTGTCTGCCTGGAGCTAATCTCCACTACTACTGGACCAATCAGCCTAATATTTTGTGTGCACATTTATGACTGAAATATCAAGGTGATACACAACTGTTAAAAAAAAACTGTTTTATTGACTGTTTTTTATCATCTTTGTCTGCTGACCCCTCACTCCTCTTAATAGGCCAGTAGAGGCCTCGGGTCCTTAACCAAATCACGTTGCAAAAGCACAGAGCAAAATACATTTCAGATAGGAATCAGAAAAAACAAGAAGCCTTACTGTCTGTTCAGGCCACATTTAGGCTAAAAAACTGACAACCAAAAAGTTTGGTCATACTTTGAACCCATGCATCTGCAGAGAAATTCCATACCCGATATGTTATAATATACTTTAAGCTAGACACGATATGAGATAAGAAAAAGCCCAGCTTTCCACTGGATTTTGGATTATTGCAGAAAATATGTTGTTTGGCAAACAAAAAGTTTATGATACTTACACATGTTGTAGCAAGATAATCTTCATACATGAACGATGGACGAATGATAATTTAAGCTTAAATGAAGTAATAAAGCTAACATTAGGCTACAAACAAACTACACCACAGTCCAATGACTCCAACGTCGCCACCACAGCAATGCTGCAAAGCTGTCTTTGCCTTCATGATGCTCTGTAGTCCCATTTAGCCACTTGTTAGCAACTGTCTTTTTTTTAAGACACCTAAAGGCTTCAAGATTTACAAGTGGGGTATTTACTGATGAATGTATATTGCAGAACAAAACATGAAATTATTTCAGGCAAATCTATTGGCTTTGAGACAAGGAAACTGGGAGTGCTAAATCGCTACCTCATTTCTGGGGATTCAGGACTCATTCCTACTCCACTTTACTGTCTACAGTGGTCACCATCAGCTCCAGGAGAGATCTGCACTCTTCTGAGTGCAATTTCCTAGTTGTGAATGAAACTATGGAAACAAATGGAGCAGGACAGGCAGTGTAGCAATTTGAGTTCATCAGTTGTGTTAATGATCACATCTCAAGAACATGAGAATGTGGCACTCTTCAACAGCCATTCAACAAGTTTAGCAGAGATGTTTCAGACTGGAGACCGGTGGTGTGGTGGTAGTTAATGAAATGGTGGGTCTAGTGTAAACAGCCAGAGACCATCTTGTGATGGGATCAGTCCAGCCATGATACAGTGATCACTTACACTTGAAGCAAATGTAAGCCAGAAGCCTCAAGTTGGGTGGCCCCTTCCCTACTTCTTACCCCCCTACTTCCAGCCCCATGCTTGGACCACACCTATCTTCAAACTCGGCTTTTATTTTGATCTCAGTTTCACAGCCGTAAAGCTTTGTGACTGTACCTTTGACGGCTGCGAAGTAATCACATTGACAAACATCTTTTCACAGATAAACACAGACATACCTGGCAAAATACTCACAACCACTTATGTGGTAGTTCCTACTACAGTTGGTGTTGACTGGACCACATTTGGCCATGATGACGCACACACACACTCACAAGGTGAAATCAATACCAGCAGTCACAACATTGTCACAGCTGGTAATAAAAGAACAAAGATATTCTTGCATAAGACCCAATGTCTTAGCTTAGGTTATTCACAGCCTCCAGCACTGCATCATTGTTGTGGTTCTGGAATTGTCTACAGTTTTTTTGTAATATTTGGCTTGTGTTAACACTGAAGAATTCTCTGGAAGATGTCTCATTTTCTTTTCATGCTTATTTTTTACCTTTATTCCTCTGTAAAGCACTGCGTGCTGCATTTAAATAACCTTAAACTGGAACCAGGCCAAATCCATTCAAATTCATTATCAAGAAGCAATCTATGTGAAACAAACAAAATATTCCTACTCCTAACAGTTCCTGCTCTAACAGGTAACACCACCCAGGATCTAGCTGCATATAAAGGCTGTGCAGTTTGACAGTCAGTTTACATAGATTGATGGTCTTGGAGGCAGAATCTGTAATCAGGAAGGTGTGCTGGCCAGTAAAATGAACTGCTGTATTGTTAAGTAAGAATGAAGACCTGCAGGTTTGGATGTTGTAGTTATTCATCTCTGCTTTATATGCTTAAAAACAACAACACAGTCAATACTCATTGCAATCTGTAAAGAGATTCTGTTAATGTCCAAACACTGATGGAGGCATGTATGAACCACTATACATGAGCAATCTTAACAATCCATGACTTATCAAACCTCACATATCCTATAAATGTGACTATAACTGTGTGCCTTCTGCTCATTTATATGTTCCACTGCTCCAGGTCACTACATGTATGTGGACTCTGTGTATGCCAAGCACTTCCAGGAAGTAGCCAAGCTGACCTCGCCCATAACCACAGTGTCTATTGCTGGCTGCCTGTCCTTCTACTACCACAGAGACCAGGAGAGGGGAAACATCTTTACAGTTTTCACCAGAGACCAGCTGGGACACTATGAGGAGATCTGGAGGCCGGAGGTGTACACTACTGCTGGTTGGACTGCAGTCAGCGTTGACATCAAGGCCCCACACCCCCTTGAGGTCAGTACTTCAGTATGCACAGTTGCAGCGAGTGGTTTAGCTTCATATGATGATTGAATCAATTAGCCATTAGCCCTCCCCAACCACCTCCTTCCAAGGCTACACTGATTCCCTTAATATTAATCAACTTCTTACTGATTTTTTTTTCTCCTCAATGTTCATTTATTCATTTTTGTAGTTATTAAACATACTTATCAACATTATTATAAGTGTCATTTATTTATTTATCCTCATCCTTTTCTTTGCACATACTTGCCCATTCCTCTAGTTACAGTCATTCATATTTAAATATATCACACACTCAGATAACACACTCTCATACATGCACACAAATACTTTACTCCCACCAACAAAAACAACTAAAAGTCTGTACCACGTTTAAATCATGACGTCTGTTTCATCAGTTTGTTTTAATGTCTGAACATTGTGTTACACATTTGTCTTGCACAAACTTTCCATTTTGAGGTTTTTGCGGGTCTGGTCATGCAGCACAGCTAGAACTTGCCTCTTTTTTTTCTTCAGCAGTAATTTGTAGAGTCTTGGGTCACGGGGTGGATAACTGATCAGTTGATCTGGTCAGAGCCGAGTAGATCAGCTGTTTGTGAGTGAAAGCAAACTTTTAGACCCATTGCAATGAAGTGTTAAAGGGGAACTAACGTTTTTTTCAACCTGGGCCCTATTTTCCAATTTACTTTTGTCTAAATGAGTGATAGGGTGTTCAATATTTGACATTTCTCCAGTATGAAGCTCGGGCTGACCTGCCTGCAGCCCGTGAGCATGCGCTATATTAAATAATAGGGCACTGGGACAAACAGCATCAAAATACGTCCACTGAAAGTGCATTTTTTTCACACAGATAGGCTCGGATTGTTAGTATAATTATCCGACAACATAACAGAAAGGAGAAATGAACATCTTTTTTTACCTTCAGCTGGATCCGGACATGTTCCTCTGCCTGTTGCAATTTTAGTATATGTGCTACCGAAGTAATACTGTTCCCTCTCTCTCCTCGTCAGCTCTTCAATTTCAATGAGTTCTGCGTCCGTGTACATCCGTGTACTCCGTGTTCAAATAAATACGGGCGGTCATCAAATTCAGATGGCTCATCCAGATCCAGTTGGTCAAAATCGGGTAAAAATTCGGACATGTTTGTTGTGGCAAGTCAAAACACTCACTCAGAGAGTGAAAGTCTGGCTCTAAAATCTCACGTATCGCGAGATTCTTCTTCTTCTTCTTTGGTGTTTTACTATACAGTCTATGGTGTTTTACGGCAGTTGGTCTCGCGAGACTTGAGTTGTTGCAGGAAGTTACCGCTGGAGCAAGCTTACAAATGCGACTGTTTGGAGTAGTCATGGCTGAATTTTTACCCGATTTTGACCAACTGGATCTGGATGAGCCATCTGAATTTGATGACTGCCCGTATTTACCTGCCTGACCTGACCTGCCTGCAGCCCGAGCTTCGTACTGGAGAAATGTCACATATTGTACATCCTATCACTCATTTAGACAAAAGTAGATCAGAAAATAGGGCCCAGGTTGAAAAAAACGTTAGTTTCCCTTTAAGTTTCATTTTCACTGCGTCTGACATTCTGCTGTTCCCTCAGTACCCAGAGTACACTCTACGCTCTGTGAGTGCGGAGCAATGAATAACCAAACAGTATATATGCAAATATTCCAGCACACCTAATGAATGGTCCACCTCCAAAAATAGAAAATCAAAACATGGCAGCAGATGTTTTAACTGTGGCAGGGTGCCACAAATAAATGAATGTGTGGGAAACCCTTTAAGTAATTTATATTCACAGACTTTGAACCTTTAGACCTTTTACAAGTCAAGATGTCTGCTGTGAAAGGTCTATATAATGCAGGATTTTCATGTCATGTTCAGAGGCCAAACAAAATGTTTCTGAGGGCTGCCAAAGGCCCATGGGCTGCACTTTGAGCAACAATGGTCTAATCAACATATGCACAGTAAAATGACTTCTGTGGCTCTGGAGGAGTTTTGTCAAATCTAAAAATAACTCTGATAATATCATCAGGGTGATCTCAGCTTGGGCTCAGACACAAATTTATAAGCTTGCAGATGTGGGCAAGGAGGAAGGATTTCACATAAGATGCCATCAACTTCCACCATGGGAAATGCAGAATCCGGTGTTGTTGGAGCTTGACCCGTAAGGATTAGTGAGTAAAAGTCAGGATATCTCAGCCTCTGCTGCCCAGATTTGGACTGTTTTGCAGTCATCAGCAGATATCTTTGTCCTGACCCTCAGCCGCCTCCATTTAAATGGCCACAGCCTGTCTGTGTTTGCTTTTTGACTGTGGAGGAGTTTATCTGTAGGCAGCAGCAGTAATGATTCTCTTCCCCCTGGTCCTGCACAGCACGGTGTAGGTGCAGATGTACATGCAGGTACAGCAGAAAGGGCCAAAGGGCTTGACCCCTGTAATACTAGCCAATGGTATTGAAGCTTGGTGTGCTTTAATGCATGTTAATGTGTAACATGAATTTGCCCATTGAATCCAGTGGGCTGCCACAGAGGAGAGGGGTGCAAAGGGTGACAAAAAGGGTGACAAAAATGCCCCATGAGGTGAAAGGGACAGGTGCATGCAGGTTCTAAAAACTATGGGTTAGTTATGGTAGTTTATCCCATTCATCAACAGTTAGATCAGCAGCAGTAGCAGCTTTTATGTACGGCTCAGAGAGGCACTGGCTCTCTGCTTTTTTTTTTTTTTTTTGTAAGATTTATTTTTGGCATTTTTGCCTTTAATGGATAGGATAGGATAGTATAGTGTGAACAGGGGAAGAGAGAGGGGGGATGACACGCAGCAAAGGGCTGAGAGCCTGTGGCTGCTGCGGCAGGGACTGAGCCTTTGTACGTGGGGCGCCTGCTCTATCCAATAAGCCACCGACGCCCCCGCTCTCTGCTTTTTGCGTCAGAAATTGTATCTGTTCTCAAAGTCATGATTGACTTACACCAACAGAGAAACCCACAGTATCAGACTATGAAAACCCCTGATTTCAATGGCGACTCCTCAGTCAGACTTTGGGGAGTGAGAGAGAAAGAATGGAAGAGTGTGTGTGTGTTAGACAGAGACCTCAGGACAAAAGCTAGTGATACGGAAGTTGGATGCTAGCCAAGTTCTACCAACTGTTTTTCTCACCCTGGCGGACAAACTCTGAAATAATGTGTTTCAACACAACACGCTACATGCTGCCAATAATATTGTTATGCTAGTGCTGTTTGAGTAATACAATGTCTTGTTGCTTACCTCAAACCTGCATTTTATCAGTCCACTTTTTGTCTGCCTCTTTTGCCTCAAAGTATCATCTTCTTTAGTTCCTTTTGTGGTATGCCACTATACATTTAGTACAGTAAATGCTGCCTCCACCCAGAGTCCTGCATGGATCTAATTTTCAAGACCCCCTCCCGAACTGCAACTGCAGTGAGCAATACAGTGCTCACCCCGCCATGACCAATTAGTTGCACAACCCCACCTGACCCTCCTACACAAAATCCTCAGACAGACCCGAAACTGCAAATTCTGTAATAATCATGTGATGTTCAAATAATTTGGTCAGGCAGCACATTTCAAATTATCATTCTTGGAACTGAACCTAGGTCAGGGTGATCAAATACGCTCCGTGAACCATTCGTTCATTTGAATTTCAATTAAGAACGAAAAAACAATAAAATGGAAAAACGATTTGTGATTTCATTATTTGTTTTTCAATGTCCAACAAAAAATTTGAACAGAAAATTTAGACTTCTTTTGCAAATATTTTATTTATTGCACAGGTCAAAAATAGAACATTTAAAAAGCCGTCTGGATCCCTTTTTTTAAATTTTGATATTTAATCTCTCTCATTTCTGTGCCCCGGAAGTTATTCAGCCTAGCGCGTATTTAATTTACTGTCTGATACTGATAGTAGGCTGTTGTTTATTATGGCTGCCTTGGAGTCCCCAGGATTATGCGCTTGTTGCCGCATAAAACTTAACTTTGACTCTGTGACATCGGCATTGCTCTCTAAGGCTAAATGTCGCATAATGACTGTAGATGGCAGTATTCAGACATTTTCAAGCTAATTCATGATCTGAAAGATTGAACAAATACGGGGAAGATGAAATGAGAATGATCAGTAGAGTGCAATTGTCCTAAATTTTGAGCATTTTAACTGTATCATATTCTTCTTATTGTCCTTACTCATGGTAAACAGCCTTAACAAGTAACATGGAGCTCATCACCTGCAAGGACAGGATTCAGGGTGCGGTGCATTTTGTGCCAGGTGGCAGGCAGGGGCGGGGTCCCAGGCGTGTTGATCCAAGACTGGCTCTGGGGATGCATTATCTAAAGAAAGTAGAAAGAAACTTTACTATTATTTTCAAACACAGAAATGATACGTAGTGATGGTTTTTCCTTGATGAAACCATCTTTGGCAGATCATTAACAGCACAAACAGCTAAACAGCTGCAAGGAGTATGTTTATTTATTTACTTTTGGGTGGCTTGTGGTGCAGCGGTTAGCACTGTCATCTCACAGCAAGAGGGCTCCAGGTTCGAACCAGCCAGCTAGCTTGGGCCCTTCTCTAGAGTTTGCATGTTCTCCCCATGTCAGTGTGGCTTTTCTCCATGTGCTCCAGCTTCCTCCCACAGTCCAAAGACATGCAGGTTAATTGGTGACTCTAAGTTGTCCGTAGGTGTAAATGTGAGCGTGACCAGTTGTCTGTCTCTATGTGTCAGCCCTGTAATAGTCATGGGATCTGTCCAGGTTGTACCATGCCTCTTGCTCAATGTCAGCTGGGATAGGCTCCAGCCCCCCCATCACAACCCTCAACAAACAGGATAAGTGGTTACAGATAATGTATTCATTTATTTGTTGTTTATTAGGATTCCTTTTTTGTCTTCATTTGATAATTGATAGTAGCGGGATGACATGCACCAAAAGTTCTCAACTGGATGCAAACCGAGGATGTTGTGGTTTATGGTTAGAGCTTCAACACTGAGGCCACCAGGACACCCCAGAACTAACATTAAGTACAGCTGAAAAAAGTTGCAGATGACAGAAGTTTTCATTTTAGCTGAGAAATCAATGTTTGCAATGTAAGAGACTTTAAAAGAGGATTTGCACATTTACACTTGTCAAATTGCAAAGTTGGTATTAAAAAGGGATACTATGATAATGAGTTGTATCCCCTCACATTTCAGCTGCTTTAAACTGTTTAACGGTGATTGAGTCAGCTTTGTCAGCTTTGTGTTTCTGCTTAGTTGGTTTTTGGGACACAGTTGCTGCAAAATCATTTTCTTTGTAATGATAAATGGAATTCAAATGTTTCTGTGTTATTAGTCCAGTGTGTTTTTCAGACAGTCATATTGCTGTGAGCCTCTTGTTTCCCGTCATTTCATTTCTTTTTCATCCTACGCTGCAGAAAGAACATATTTTTCCAAATATTATGAGAGGAAAGAAAATCTGCTACTCCTCTCTCTCATTGTTGTGTTGTGTGCAGTTTTGGACAGACACACTCACATCTGTGACTTTCCACTGCACTTTCAAATGAGTATTCTTCTCTATGACTCCACGGTTTCCTCTCCTTGTCTTTGAGCCAGAACACCTCCCACAGCCTGCTGCTGTCGCTGTGGAAAGAAGCTTGCGTAACATTACTAACTGGGTCAGTTCCTCTGTCTGATCGAGCCAAGAGTTGTACAGAGCTTTTCCATCAAGCAGCACTCCGCTGACTAACCCATGTTCCTCAATTTACCCTACACTGATGTCACTGTCTACAGCTGTCTTATCTATCAGTAGGCTATATGTCATACTTTCATAACATGTCTTCGACAAATACAGAGTATGTTCTCAGGATTAATGGGTCTAACTCATACATTCCTAATTACCCATCTGTTAATGCTTGCTGTTTATATCTGTTACCAGGTGGTGTTTGAGGTGGCTTTTAACAGTGCTAGAGGAGGATATGTGGCCATAGATGACATCTCCTTTTCTCCTGAGTTCTGCCACATTGACACAGGTGAGAGGTGACATCTAGACTTCAGGGGAGCAAAGACAGACTACAGTCACAGACCTCAGTCCAGGTTCTGTTTGGCTGGCTGTTAAACATGCTGACTCAAAGTCTGAAGTCTCACTTGTGACCACTAGAGGCTGCAGTGTTAATTGCACCTTCATGTGCATTAGTAGTATACTACTGATAACCAACAATTCTTGGGAAAATAAATGTTTCTTGCAAATGTAAAAGCAATGTGTCAACATCCATGTGTCATACTGTGATGGCAACTGTGCATCAAAGTTGCCACAGCTTTGTTTGAATAAGCCCCATAGTCACTTTTCTGTGGAGGTCAGACCTGTGTCATTTCACTAATACTTCCAACAAGGCTCAATTATGAATGTTGTCACATTACCATGCAGACTGCAGGATTCATTTCGCACAGACATTATAGAGAAAAACTGTAATGAACCCATTTTAGATGAGTCTTTTAAATGTACTTGTGAAACTGAACTCTACTGGAGCATGTGAGCAAATATTAATTAATTGGGAGGTGTCATTTTAAAATTTGCTCTGGCGTTGACTGATCCTAGGCATTCTATATTCTGTCTAATACAGTGGCATGCAAAAGTTTGGGCACCCCTGGTCAAAATTTCTTTTACTGTGAATAGTTAATTAAGTAAAAGATGAACTGATCTCCAAAAGGCATGGAGTTAAAGATGAGACATGCTTTTCAATTTTTTAAGCAAGATTAATGTACTATTTTTGTTTTGTACAATTTTAGAGTGAGAAAAGGAAAAGGAGCACCATGCAAAACACCAAGACATTTGAGCTCTCAGACAACTTTTATCAGGGTCTCAGATCATCACTAGCTTGTTATGGCTCTGGCTTGTTCACAGTCATCGTTAGGAAATGCCAAGTGATTCAAATTTCCAAGCTTTATAAATACTGTGTTTCTCAAAGTCAAGGATCCTTTCTTGGTAGGATGAGTCCTTCCAAGGAAGCAGTTTTTAGAGCCAGGCGCTGCAGTTTCTCTCCACCGACTGCACCGCCTGGGTCTCACCTGATCTAACAGCTGATTGGTTTAGATGTTGACTCAACAAGATGACGTTTTAGATAAACTTTTAAATTTTGCTGAATTTCAGATATTTCAATTTTATTTGTCTGATTTGAAGGTTTATTCTGTGAACAGAAAACATGTTGTGTGACTGATGGTGAAGTTAATTGGTCAGAGACGAAATACATTAATCATAAACTACACAGAGTCTACTGTATATTAACATTGGACTGTTTTAATTATTGAAGTGTTTAGCAACACAGAGACTTGTGGTCAGTGGGATGTGAGGATTCTTAAAATAACATCTGTCCAGATGTGAAGCCCTGACTGTATCTGACTGATCTGTAATGAAAGCTGTTGTCTTGTATAAAATATGAACCTTATAGTCAGACAAAAATTATTTAGCTCCTGTAGTTGAGGGGACAGGTCTGCTCTGCAGCAGCAAACTAATATGATGCTGATTGACATCAGAATTCATGTAAAATGGAGGTTGAAGGCTGCTGGAAACTGTCCGACCTGATAGCAGCTTTTTGTCACCACCTCCTGCTGCTGCTGCCTGCTCTCGTCTACTTTACAGGTGAGGCACAGTTCATCTCGAACGAGCCTATTGGAACAGGCTAATGTGTGTCCCCAGGTGTGTGTTATTAACCCTCAGCAGACTGAGCGTTAATGACACACAGGTGATAATTTTGGCACTCTTTAATGTTGTTGTACAGTTTGAACAAATAAAAGCAGTATTTCCATAGTCATGTGACTTTTATGGACAATGTTTCTCTGGATTATACTTAAAAAAACAAACAGGTAGTCAAATGAAACTTTTGTGGCATTTCATGTTATCAAAATTAAATGATGCACAGCCAGAAACATGGGCATGTTCAGAAAACATTATATGTACTAGGTTTTCCCTGCAGCAGGTCAAAAGATAAATAAATAAATAATATAAGCAAAATAAAGAATGAAATAAGAAGAGCTAAAACACTCTTATACAAAATGTCTCTTATTTATATATTCTTGAATGATGGTCCATAGGTCATCTAACCCATTGTCCCTATAAAATCCCTGCAGGGATGAGGCTGCATGTTCCATTGTTATCACTTCTATGAATTCACATGCATTATTTATAATTCTCCAAATGAAGGACTCTGTCCTTTGTAGAATTTGAAGGATCCTTGACATTGGAACAGTTCTTAGGCAGGATTTGATGATGTTGCATCCTTGAAATCCAGCCATTTAAGGATGCTTCCTTGATTTTGAGAAACACTCTCTGACTCCTGAAACCTTGTCCCAACAATCAGCAGCCATGGGCTCCTCTAAACAGTTGCCTAGCACTCTGAAATAAAATAACTGATGCCAACAAAGCGGGAGAAGGCTATAAGAAGAAAGTGTTTTCAGGTAGCTGTTTGGTAGCTGCTCATTTGGTAATATAATTAAAAAATGGCAGTTAACAGTAGCTGTGGAGGTCAAGTTGAGGTCTGGAAGACCATGGAAACTTTCCGAGAGAGCTGCTCATAGGATTGCTAGAAAGGCAAATCAAAACCCCTGTTTGACTGAAAAAGACCTGCAAAAAGATTAAGCAGACTGTGGGGTCGTGGTGCACTGTTCTACTGTGTAGTGACACATGTATAAATATGACCATGGAAAAGTCATCAGAAGAAAACCTTTCCTGCATACTCATCACAAAATTCAGTGTCAGAAGTTCGCAAAGGGACTTCCGATAAAGCCTGATGCTTTTTAGAAACAAGTCCTGTGAACTGAGCAAAGGTATGTTTGGAGAAAAAAGGGTGTAGAATTTCAGGAAAGGAACACCTGTCCAACTGTTAAACATAGGGGTGGATTGATCATGCTTTGGGCTTGTGTTGCAACCAGTGGCACAGGGAACATTTCACAGGTAGAAGGAAGAATATATTCAATTTAATTCCAGCACATTCTTGAAGCAAACATCACACCATCTGTAAAAAAAAAAAAAGGTGAGAGGATGGCTTCCGTAACAGGACAATGATCCTAAACACACCTCAAAATCCACAATGAACTACCTCAAGAGGAGCAAGCTGAAGGTTTTGCTATGGCCCTCACAGTCCCCTGACCTAAACATCATTAAAAATCTGTGGATAGACCTCAAAAGAGCAGTGCATGCAAGACGGCCCAAGAATCTCACAGAACTAGAAGCCTTTTGTAGGAAGAATGGGTGAAAATCCCCCAAACAAGAATTGAAAGGCCCTTGACTGGTTACAAAAAGTGTTACTAAGTACTGACCGTGCAGGGTGCCCAAACTTTTGCTTCAGGCCCTTTTCCTTATTTGTTATTTTGAAACTGTAAAAGATTGAAAATAGAAAAAGTAATCTTGCTTAAAATATTGAAGAAATGTTTCATCTTTAACTTCATGCCTTTTGGAAATCAGGTCATCTTTTACTTACCAAAACTTAGGTGCCCAAATTTTTGCATCCCACCGCATATCCCTGTTCTCCATAATCAATAAGCTCTTAAAACCTACTGGTACCTACTCAATACCACCATCCACTGAGCAGTGAAATAGATTCTGAAACTTTTTTATTAAAGAAGTTACAGAAAGTAATAGCAGCATAAGCTCTGCCCTGTCTCTGCTGCCATTTATTTTTCTGGTCTCTGTCCTCCCTCCAGTGGCCTATTCAATTTTAATACAATTTGGTGGTATTTCGGTATTGCACGTTACCAGGGTATTTAAAAATCCTGATGGTATGGTTTTCAATACCATCAGAAATACAGAAACCCCTCTTTCTATTCAACTCATACAGAGAGGCTGTATTGAGGATGTATTGTATGTAGTGCACAGCACAGGCCACCAGAGGTCAGTCTCTGCTAGTGGAACAGACAGCTGAGCTGAAAGACATTACAACTGTGACAGAAAACGCTTCAGAACTGTCAACAGCCGACCTGCAACAGCAGAGAGAGACTGCAGGGAAAAAACAACATATTTTCATGGAGGAATTATGGATGACGGCAAATGTAAATGGCCTGAGCATGAAAAGTTTAATCACCAAAAAAATGGAAATTAGCAGTAGCTCTACATGCAGTAATACATAGCATTGGATAAAAGGCCATGTATGGCAATGGCAATTTTATATGCGTACTGTGTGTATCCCAGAAAAATGGGAAAAAAATAATAATGTAAAGTAAAATAAAACAAATAAAATAGATACAATGTTTTATTATAATCATGTTATTAATGAGAACATTTGTTTTGAGGGTGGTTGTTAGGACTGATGAGCAGTGGGAGTGAGTGTCCCTCACACTACCAATGGTCACTAGTCACAAATTATTTAATTGCAACATTTTTTAAAAATCCAGCCGTGATGTATCTCGTTGTGTTTTGTGTTGCAGAGCCGACCTTTGACCCCTCTATAGCCAACTGTGACTTTGAAGATGGACTGTGTCTGTACTATCAGGAGAGAACAGAGAGTAAGGTGTGGAGCAGAGTTTCAGTCAAGCCTAATGCCTACAGAATAGGAGACCATACCACAGGAGCGGGTGAGTAACACTGCAGCACAGACTCCAGCGCCTCCCTGTACATGACGATGAATGCTCTCTGTGCTTGTCTGTACAGGAACAACTAGTCTTGTCATGATCGAGAGCAGGGGTCTGCAGTCTTAACTATCAAAAGAGCAATTTTTGACCAAAAATAATTATAATAAAAAAATCTGCCTGGAGCTGCAAAACCTATTTGAGCCTTATGGTAACACTGCGTATTAAGTCTAAATTAGCCTATCAACATTTAGAATAAGTCTAGAGCTGGCGCACCAGAGACTTTTGCCCACTGAGCAGCTAACTTCCAGTTTTTTTTATCAGACTGAATGGATCAAATCCCAACAGTCAAACAAGTCATTTTTGTGCAAAAAAATGTAAGTCTATGTGAAAAAGTCTTTTAGGACACAGGGGCATCACGTGATGAAGTTAACAGCTTGGCCAGTTTGGCCACTGTCTCAGATTGGCCTCAAAGCTCGGCGCTGTTCCTGGGGTCCTGGGCGACACTTGCTCATCTGATAAACATCTACACGCACTTACAGTCCGATTGCACATCATCAGAAGCAATTTGGGGTTCAGCATCTTGCCCAAAGATACTTCAACATGTAGACTGCAAGGGCCAGGGATCAAACCACCAAACTTCCGATTGGTAGATGAATGCTTTACCTCTTGAGCAACGGCCGCCTCAATAATTTGGTTAAAATTGTTCCACTTCTAGTTTATCTGTTCCTTGCATCTCTTCACCAAGACAACACCATCTGTTCTGTTTCTTCAGTGGCTACCTCATGATGGACAGGGTATTTTACATTGCACCTTGTACCACTGTAGTTAAACACAGTGTACAGTAGTTGAGCTAACGTTACCACTCTTGTTCTTAATAATGTTCTATGTGTACTTTTTCTTAGGCTGCTTCCTCCTGGCAAACACTCGTTTTACTTCAAAGCCCGGCTACATGGGTCGCCTTCATGGTCCCTTTTTACCAGGGAACCACAAATACTGCCTGAGGTTCTACTACCTGCTTCATGGATTTAGGAAAGTGGACAATGCTCTAGTTATTTACATTTATGACGAAAACAATGTGGCTCAAGAGAAGGTGTGGAGCCTGACTGACACCTCCAGGGCTGTATGGACTGAGGTGGAGATCACCTACATGAAGCCTATGCTGTCCAAGGTATCAAGCATTAGATGATGATGTATGTGGAGACTGATGCTTTTGAGTGACTGAATAGAAAGACAAACTGATGGATGGATGGACGAACAGACAGATGGACAGAGGGATGGATAGATGAATGGATGGATGGATAGATGGATGTGAATGATAACCGGATTAATTGTTGAATGGCAGTGTTGAGTTTTTTCTCTGTTTCCCAGGTAGTGTTTGTCAGCATATGTAAGAACTTCTGGGAGTGTGGCCTGGTAGCCATCGATGACATCACTGTAAGTCTTGGAGACTGTCAAATGACAGCAGGTAAAAGACTCACTAAGACATACACTGACAACTCTTCTTCATGTTCAACAGGAGAGAGAAACGTTATATTCTTGTCTTAGAACAGGTCAGCACAAAACAAGACACTCTATTGTCAGAGCTGCCAGTTCTCTTCATGAGGTGGAGCCAATGAGACTATTAGTCCCTGCTCATGGTGTTCCTGTAGTCAGCTGAGTCTTTTAATGTGAAGCAGCAGCAGTAGGACGTGTTGTGTTAGCATTAGCAGTAACTGAATACACCTGTGATATGTCTGAAGGAGACGGAACAGTAAACAGTGAGGCTGTAATCAATCACATTACAAACAGTAATAGTGGATTACTGTACATGCTGCATTGCTCCCTATCAATACCTTGTGTATTTTTTATGGCAATTAAAATCCAGTAACAATGAAATCTACTTTATAAAGAGAAAATTACTTAATGTAAATACACTGAATGGCAATTGCTGAAAAAAAGTCTACCATAAATGTATCAAAAACAGGTTTGATTTCATGAAAATCTTAAAAAAAATGATTATATGGCCAGAAATATATGGACACTCCACACCCATTGCCAAATGCATAAAATTAAATATTCAGCCACGGAATCTCCACTGACTAACACTGGCAGTAGTATGGGTTGTGCCAAAGAGCTTTGTGACTCTTTGGGATGCCATCCTTTTTACAGGTCCAGTGTGTAGGATTTAGGGGGATATATTGACAGTAATGGAATATAGTATAATGACATGCAACAAGGGGCCACAGGCTGGAATCGAGCCTGCATCTGCTGCAGCTGCTGCAACAAGGACATTGCCTTTGCACATGGGAGACCTGCTTTAACCACTGAGCTACTGGGCGCCCTGAGAACAGATTTTTAAAGTGATACTGCTTTACTGGTGTTTTTACTGGTTGTAATCACATGGTGCATTTGTTTTGGAGAGAAAGTGACCTCTGTGGATAATTCAGCTCTTGGTAAAAACCTCCTGAACAGTGAACATTGAAGGAATTCTAACAAGGAAAAGTTTTAGCTGGTTTCAACCTGCAATCCTCAACGCTAGACACCACTAATCCCCCTAAATCTTACACACTGGACCTTTAAGACTCGCTTACTCGCTCGCATCTCCTTACGATCCACTAGCCACATGTCCTCTGAATATGCTGTGAAAAAGTCCGGTCTCTGTAGGCAGCCCAGGCTCCACAAATGGCAACAAAAACATTTGGGTCCAGGCTGCACCAACCAGCTAGCACAAGACCAGCGAAAGCAAGCACACACACATGAACGCTGTGCCCATGTCTCACGGTCTCGTGCAAGCGTGCACATGTGAACGTGGTGCCCAGAGAGGCAGTTAGAGCTACAGGCTACAATGAGGCTAAAAGGTGAGCTAGCTCTGTTATGTTTGATAACATTGTTGAACGTAAACAGAAGTGAAGTGTTTTTGTTGCCATTTGCGGAGCCTGGGCTGCCTACAGAGACCGGACTTTTTCACAGCATATTCAGAGGACATGTAGCTAGGGGATCGCGAGGAGATGTTTGCTGTATGTGACAAAAACTTTTCAAGCTTAGGAAGACTTAGAGAGCCTTTAAGTATTTGTTTACCTTCATAGACAGAGAGGGGTCATGGATTGAACATGGGGATGAAAGAGGACAGGAGACCTCAGGGAGAGCCAGATGAAGAGAAAAAAGAGAGGAGGCAAGGAGAGGAAATGTGTACAGGAGAGGAGAGGGCAGAGGAATAACAGAAAGATGAGAAAGGTTTACAAAAACACTTCCAAACACGAGAAGTCTGAATGGGACCCAGATAGTCCTGACATACCAAGGTTAAAGACTCAGTTATACCATACCTCTACTGCATTACAAATGGTATGCTACTTCATCAACAAATATTACTCAGACCACTACAAAGAATTGCAGATTAACATTATATATCCGTTTCACATTATAGACACCACTAAATATATGTGGAACAATTTGGTTGCAATTCATCATGTGTTCTTGATTGTGTTGGGTCCTTGGTGAAGTTCAGTGACCCTGGAGGTCTAAAAACTGTTACAAGCAGTGCAGAGATATTCAAAGGAGGCAAAATCACCATGATGACTCAGTGTAAAATGATGCATCCTCTTTGTAAGGTCCAATTGTCATTCTCTTTAGAAGACACCTCCATTAACCGTTTAGTCACCTGAAGGTTGTCTACACACCTCCTCACACCGCTTAATCTGGCATTGTACCTCTGTTGCCTCAGGGTCAACCTGCCTGAATCAGAAAGAAGGCTTTATCAGCTGAGGCTGTAATGGATATGCAGGGTCTCCAATAAAGTTGTGTCCTATGTGATGACCAGAGATATTAACATTTATTAACATTTAATGGAGGATTGCACAAATAATTCAATTAGGAGAGACCTGTTCTGAGAGAAAAGACTATTCATTTACATGTGCACATAAGTATGTGGAATGTGTCATTGGTGATTAGACCCCATCATGATGTCATACATTCAGAGAGGTCTTAAAGACATAGTAGATTAGGGAACCCACCTATGGAGTCTAGATGCTGGTGGTGGTAATGGCGGTGATGAGATGAGATGAAGAGGGAGCTGAAGATCTGGACGTAAGGAGGAGTGGACTTTTGATGAGCTTGTCCTTGGCTCTGATAAGGTGACTGGAGGTGAATGGGGTGGAGGAGGATGCGATTATTCTGCCTAAAATGACAGTTGACACGAGAACAGATTTAAAGGCAGTAGAAGTATAAAGAAAGTCTTCCTGATTAAACTTACGATGACATTTATTTGGTGAAGCTTTGCAGGGTTTGCCCTCAGTTAATTGGCCAACAGAGGTGCTGAGCTCTGACTGTGACTGACTGAGCTGTTTGTCTCAACAATTCCCAACTTCAAGCTTTCATTAAAACTGCAGCACACGCTAGATTTTCTTAGAAAATTTAGCATCGAGTGTCCTTGCTCACCTGATACACTGACTGTGTGTGTTTGCTCCACAGGATCCCTCCCAGGCCAGTGTAATTTTGAAGATGGGATCTGTGGCTACTTCCAGGATAAGAAAGGAGACAAAGCCGACTGGCTGCGAGTCCGAGGACACACCCCCACCTCCTATACAGGACCTAGAGGAGACCACACTACTGGGGTGGGTGAGTCATTTCCTCATTCACTGCTTTATTCATTCATTCAGAGGTCATACCCCCACATGATGGATGTATGAAAGCCCATGTGTGATCCAGCTGTTCAAGATTTTACCTCAGGAATTCAGACTTACAATCACTTATTCATTTAATTCTGCTTAGGATGTCTAAATATTTTAGTAGTTGGCTGTTAATATGCACTTTGTTCTTAATGACACAGCATTCCGTTCCTCTTTGTGTGTTGTATTTTTACAGCTGCAACAACAAAAACTCTCCACTGAGATCAATAAAGTCCCATACTGTTCAGTGTGTTATTCATGTGCCTTCTCCAGGTTACTTCATGTACATCGAGGCATCACTCATGCGTCCGGGTCACAAAGCTCGACTGCTGACCTCTGATCTGCGGGGCTCCTCGTCCCCTCAGTGTTTGATCTTCTACTATCACATGTACGGATCTGGCACCGGCATACTGAGCGTGCTTCTGCGCCACAGCAGCAGAGAGAGGGACACACTGCTGTGGAGACGCCGCGGTGAGCAGAGCGTCAGCTGGATGAGGGCTATGGTGGACTACCACTGTGATGTCCGACACCAGGTACATCAATATGTAGATTACATAAAGGTAGTGAAAAAACATTCATAAATACCTAACAGACACAAACCTTCCTTGAAAACTTCAGGCAATATCAGGATTTGTTGTCAAATTGACCTCTGTATTGATATATGAATCTGTATTTTGTTAGACACACTAGGTTCTCTGTCCTCACATTGGACCTCTGTTAAATGTTTCGCACTAAATAATAAACAAAATAACTGCCAGTTAAGAAAGCATTCTTACCACAAGGTCAAATTAGTAGATATCACACAATGTTGATCACATACGGAGTTTGACGGAATAAAAATGTAGATGTTCAAATATCTTTATACCCCCACTTCAGCCAGTGTTACTTTCTGTTTTTCAGTTAGCATTCTTTCTCAAACAGATGATGGGGGTGTGGTTAGTAGATGGATGTAATCATTACCTTGGCAGCCAAATTGCAATTCTAGCATGTGTCAAAGCAATAACACATGTATTAGCATGGATAGCGATAGCATTCATTCTAACATAGGTTATGAGGTGAAGGTTTTTCTCCACTTCCTTCTTTTGAATGAAATATGAATAAATATGAATCTAAAAGCCAAACAGCATGCATCAAAAAAATACGCTCCTATTATTTTCAAAGCACAACCCCACACTGAGAACCAAGAATGTGGCACCCCTTCATGCCACTGTCCTTTTTCCAGCCTCTCAACCCCCAGAATTAAATGCATTTTCCCCCCACTCGCTCTCTGCTTGGACACACCAGCTCCTGTAGCAGCTCTTTTTTCTCTGCTCCCGTGGCAGCTCAACTCATCTCCTTAGCATGAATGCATAAAGAGAACTCGATTGCTGTGTCTTGTGTGTAACAAAGACTAGAAGAGGAGAGACTCCCAGTGGAGATTAAGAAATATCTTGAGCTAAACTACCGACAATCCCGTCCTTATAAAGACAGTGGCCAAAAAAAATTGCCTGTTGAGTTGTAGCTCTGGAGATCAACTCTTCAGGTGAGAAATCAAGTTTTATTAGTGGTTGTCCACACATTTTAAGTTTATGGACGGATGGAGGAGGCACAGATTTTCCAGTAAAAGTAGTAATAACTTTGCATGGTCGTCTGTTTATGAGCTGCAGTGTTGTGTCCGGTGTGTGCTAAGAGTGTCACTTGATGTGCGTCACATGACGCGCCATGCCGTAGTGGGGCTGATGTGTTTTAGCTTAGTGTTAGCTGCAATTCACTTACTTCTGAATGGTCATTTAGCCTAAGGACTAACTGACAGTTGATATGGGAAACTAGTTTGTTTGCTAGTTCCCGTAACACCAACAATAAGTTAATGAAATATCCTATTTTTTCAAGTATATTTCAAGGGCTGAGGGCATAAGTGACATTTCACCAACTTTACAGGAGAGCGAAAACAAAAAATGACCATAGTTTGCTCTTACTTTCTGTACTGATTTCATCTATTTAAAGCACATTTACTGACACAGATGGATGACACAATACTTAATGAATAATAATTTATCTTTTAGTCATAAAAATATTTTTTCTACATTTCTAAATTTCAAAAATATTCACATACGCCTTTTTGGCACCAAGGTTTTCAGTTCATTTGGATATAACATATGGGCGTATCTGATAATTTCATGAGCAGAAAAGAATATAACAGTCATTTTTACACAATAAAGGTCATTAAAACATATTTATATTAGATTATTTATCTCAATGCTATTTATTTTTGAGTAGTTATACCATCGACAGAATAGACAGAAAGCAATTACAATGATACAGTACAATGAACATCGATGATAATTTAAGAATTCATTTAATTATTAAACATTTCATTTAAATGATAATTTAAATTCATTGAAATTATTGTTAAAATCTGATTCCATACTATCAGTGGACTAGACAACAGTAGGAATTAATATGTTTTCAAGTATTTGGAGTATGCGCAATAGTATTCATGAATTAATGACATTGACTAAACTAATCATGTGAACAAAATGAACAAAATATTAAAAACTGAATATAATCTACATTACTAGTTGTTTAATTGCTACTATGCATTACATCTCACTTTGATTCAGAAACCCTCAAAAACTGGTAAAAGTCCAGATAGGAGCAGGGGATACTGCCATTTGTGCAGCGTGTGACCAAGTCTTTTTTTTTTAGTGCACTGATCCCTGGTCGAGATTTGTTCAACTTTTTAGGCCAAATTGCATGGGAACCTCTTGTCTCCTGCGTCCCAACTTCAAGAAAGCGGAATTCATCACTAGAAAGTTCATACTTGAATTGGACACATCTCTCCTGTAGGCTAAAAGATAACTTTACTGACACAATGTGGAGTTAAAACTTACCTTAATCACTTATTTCTGGTGTTTGAAATAACTATGACAATACCTCTTCAGTGTTAAACACCACTTTTCTGTTGCAGCCATTTCTAGTCTTACATTTACTATCAGCCATTTTGACTTATGTGCTGTCTTCAGACTTTTCCCATAATGCATTTCTCAGTGCCAAAAGGGCGTAAATGCACTTACGCCCTTCCTATCTACCTCTGCTTCCACCCTCCAACGGCGTCCTGTGCGTACCTCAGCCCCCGCTCTTGTTACCAGCTGATCCTTTGACTCTCTCAGCTCTAGCACTAGGCCTGTTTTCTCCTGCCTGTAGCCAAGGCTAAGGGCCATCAGTGGGAGTTGCAGCACATTGTTACCAAAGAGGCCAACTTCTGAGAAGCAGCGAGGGAGTCCCCGCCATTTTCTTAAAAAGCTGTTGGCAATGCTGTCCATCCTGCTGGCTGCTGAAGAAGGGATTTTGCACACTTTAAGTGGCCACAGCTTCCGATGGAATAGCGTGAACTGATAGCACCACACTTTGAACTTCCCTGGCAGTTGGCTGCTATCAATCTTTGCCAGCCCCTCCACTAGCTGCTGTGCCGCTCTCACCATTTGTCTGTCTGAGAGTTCCGCTGTGTACTCCGTCCCAAGGCTCCGGATTGGTTTTTCTGCAAGCCGTGGGATTTCCTCGCCTCCTGTGACGAACACCACGCTGTCGTTTCTCACTCCCTTCCAGAGAGACATACTACGAGACTTTGAGGGCTTGATCTTTAGCCTTGCCCATGCTGTCAACTCATCAAGGCACTTCAGAAGTCTTGACATGCAAGGGGCTGTCTGCAGGATGATGGTTACATCGTCCATATAGCTTCTCAGCGCTGGGAGTCGTTCTCCAGATGGTAGCTTCAGTCCTCTCGCCACCTGCCTGGCTGCGATGAGGATGACTTCAAAAGTGGTGACAAACAGAACTGGGGAGATGGAGCAGCCCATTGCGATGCCAACTTCCAGTTGTTGCCATCCCGTCAGGAAGCCTTTGGTGGAGAAACACATGTGGAACTTGCTGAAGTAGCTTGCAGTGATGTCAGAGATGCTGGACGGAACATAGTAGAACTCCAGGACAAACTCAATCAGTTTGTGAGGCACAGAGCCGTAGGCATTTGCAAGGTCAAGTCACACCTCATGTAGATTGCTTTTTTCTCTCTTGGCGCGCTGTATCTGTTCCCAGACCATGGTTGCATGCTCGATGCAAGAGAGGAGGGGAGGTGTCAAAAGGGACATCTGGTGGTGCTGGCCATGATATATACCCTGGTGAGCCTAACGGTACCTCTCAGGCTGCGTCTGAGTATTGACCCTTGATGTACTGCTCCAGATCTTCCTTGGAGATTTCCAGCGTTCCACTTCGTTTCTCATCAGGCAACTGGTGGGCATGCTTGAATAGGTCCTTGAAGAGGTCTCTTCTCTCCTTTTCCTTCTTCCGCCTCCTCCTTCTGAGCCGGTCCACTCTACGAAGACTAGCGAGCGTTTGTTTAAGCTCGGTCCACAGCACTTTCAGACCAGCTTTTTCCTCTGGGGCCGCTTTCCTCCACCGCTTGCGCAGCTGGCGTCTATCGCGTACGAGCTCATTGATGTACCTCTTCCTGCGTCCCTTCTGTCTTGGTGCCCTGGCTTCTCGAGGTGTCATATCCCCGAACCCTTCCTTGCACTCCTCGTAGATGATGTTGCCCATCATGCTCAGCCTGCCGCCTAAGTTCCCTCGCAAGGGGTACTCTAGTACTCCCCTCAGGTGTTCGTCTAGTCTCTGTCACTCCTCTTGGTCTTTCGACCTGGGCCATCTGATCTTGCTATGCCTCTCAAGCGTTTTGTTCTGGCGTGCCAGTTGCACCTCTGCTGGAGGGCTGGTTATGACGTCGCCCTGGGGTACAGCATCTGTCTGCGGAGTTGAGTGCTCTGCTGTTGATCTTCCAGCACTATTGGGTCCTGCTGCTCTGTGGTTCGCTACCGGGCTTTTGGTCCCACTCGTCTGACCTGCCGAAGCAGTGCAGGCGCACTGGTCGGTCAACCTTCCACATTTCATCCTCCCCTGATAGCTGTTAAGGCCCCTGGGCGTCATCACCTTCTGCCACCCATAAAAGGTACACATCTGAAGGAATTTCTTGTTAACCTTATTCGTTCCGTTCTCTACCGGTTGATCCGTCCTAGTAGGCTCATCTTCCACCCCGCCTCTCGGAGAGCCTTCGGGCTGCCTTCTCTTAGTGGGTAGGGTGACTAACTGCCCACTCCTGGTGCAGTCTTTCCTGCCGTCCACCGGTCTTTCCCGGATGTCCCCCAGTCATTCACAGTCGTCACTGGTTCCCCAGAATTGTCAATTAGGAATACCGGTGATGTTGTACCTGCTAGGCTTTTTGCCTGCTGCACCTCCTCCAGTGCCTTCTGGGTCAGCTGCAGGGTCGTCAGCTGGAAAACAGTTAAATCCATAGGTGCAGCAAATGCATGCAAGTGTTGAAACCACAGTATAGTTTGAGAAACTGAGGTATGGAGTCCATATTTTTATGACCCCTTTGTGGAGTAAAGCAAACAGGTCAGGTATTTGAGAGGATAACACTCCAGGATTATCTTGTGCATGTTTGCCTTAGAAGAAAGTTTTTCACTTATCCATGACAAAAAGTTATTCTTCCTCGCAGCATTTGCAAGAATATTGTACAATTTGTTAGAGCAAGTACCAACAATAGCATCTTGATATGGGCTACCTAGGAGTAAAGAGACAGGATTCATACACAAAGCAACACCAGGATTTTTTTTCCATATCCTGCAGAATGTCTACCCAGTATGCTTGGATTTTAGGGCAGAGCCAGACACAATGTGTGTAAATTCCTACTGAGAGTTTACATTTTAGACACAGAGGTGAAATTTGGGGGTTCATTTTATTTAAATCAGGAGAGACTCGTTTTTATGGTAAAAGAATATTTATTAATGTAAACATATGAATAAAAATGTGGAAAGTCTTAGAGAGATGGTTGGATGGATGATTTAAGGAGGGTGATGAATCCATAGTCGAATAGGCAAGTGCATAGTTCTGCAGACTGTGGGTGTCTATATATTGTACATAATAAAAGGTCAATGAGGACCAACTGAAATAAAAGGTCATAAGACCAAACAGAAATTAAGGTCAGAAGACCAATTTAAATAAAATGTAAAAAACAAACAAACATTAAGGTCTGGCGACGAAACACAAATTTAAGTCAGCAATTTTCAGCATGACAACAACGGAAATTAAGGGTTTGATGACCAAACAGATAATACCGTGACTGGTGCGAGGTCCTGGTGACATGGGGTGTCTATATGTTGAACATAATAAAAGGTCAATGAAGACCAACTGAAATAAAAAGTCATAAGACCAAACAGAAATTAAGGTCATAAGACCAACTTAGATAAAATGCTGAAATTAAAATAAGGTGCGGCAACCAAACAGAAATTAAAGTCAGCATTGATGAACAGAAATTATGGTCCGACAACTGAACAGAAAATGCAGCGTGTGAGAATGAGGTCCCGAAGACCTTGGGTGCACAGCCTGGAGTCCTAAAGACCATGTGTAGAACAAAATAAAGGTCAGTGAAGACTAACTGAAATAAAAGGTCATAGACCGAACAGAAACTAAGGTCATAAGACCAACTTAAATAAAATGGTGAAAGTTAAATAAGGTCCGACAACCAAACAGAAATTAAGTCGGCATGACAAACAAAAATTAATGGTCGCATGACCAACAAAAAACAAGTGTTGAGGGATTCCGTGGACCACGTATGAGCATACAGCATGCGGTCCCGAAGACCATGGGTATTTGTGCATACAGCATGAGGTCCCACAGACCATGATTGTGCATTTGCATGAGCAGTAACTGCTCTGTTTGTGAAATTATGACATATGAAATGTGGTTTCTCTGGTCACAAAATTTGAATGTATGTTAAAAAGTGGCATCAGGGGAGATTATATTTTATTTGTATTTGTTCAAATGAAAACAAGCATGCTCCCTAAAATAAATCACGCATGTTCTTTTTTCCCTGGGATGTCCAAGTGCTATAGCCAATGTCGATCATGCCTGGTAAAAATCTGGGTTACCTTGGATTCGAATCAGTAGGGGGGGTTAAGTTCGACCTCCCCTCAAGCTTTCATGTAAGAAACCATGCCTTCAAGGTATTGGAAATTATGGGGCTCCTGTTACATAAACTCCTAGCCAATCTCAAAGTCTTACATGCAAGAGGTCCAACAAGTAGCCACAGATCTGTGACGATTCAAGGTCTAACCAATCAGAAGTTGGATCTTCCTTAACCCATTCTGCTATAAATCTCAGTTGAAATGCCAGCTGATGCAGTTTGATGTTGGCAACATCTAAGCCTCCTTTTCAACAAGGAATCTGCAATATTGGCATTTTAAGCCTAGGCTTTCTTTTGTTCCAAATAAAGTTGCTCAGCCAAAATACCCTAATTTTAAATCTGTATTTTCTTTGATAAGTAACTTAGCTATGCTCTTTATCAGTTGCTTTGTATCAAACAGGGCTTCCACTTTGGGGTCTTGATCACCCTATCGGCATGTGTATTGCCAGTACGAGCTGGGATTTGCTCAGTAATTTTATCCTCTACAGTACATAGCTTCCTGTATCCTGTAGTCTGTAGATGTTAGCTTACCCATATTATACAAAGTCAGTGAAAACATTGAAGTTTCAGAATGCTATGCTGGGTGCAATACCTGAATAAATAATCCCCCCCCCCCCAAATGAAAGCTAATCATCTTGTTTTCCTTTTGACCAGGACAGCAGTTACATGTAGCATTAATGCACACTGTTTTTGCACTGCATTAATGCATTTTGCAGCATATCCACTCTACGAACAGTCTGCATTAATTATGTCTTCAGTGTAGCCAAAATACAAGATAAGTTGACAAGCTAGCTCACAACGATGTTTATCAGTTTGCTGCTCAGAGGCACAGTGCACCTGCGCAAGCTTAGAGGATGATGTATGACCTGCAGCTTCTACTATAATCATACATTTTCTTCCTGTTTTAGCAACAACCTTCTTTCTTTTAAGTCTGAGCACAACATTTATTTATTAGTCAGAAAGGTATTTTACAAACAATGTGGCTAGTCAACATTGTCAGGAAGTGACTCAGAAAAATATGACATATAAAATGAGAAAAAGTAGTTTACAAAACAATCTCACCACAAAACTTCACAGATTCTGATGTAGAGTAAAATGTAATATTTAATATATTCAGTTGTTAAGGAGCCTTTTAGATTGTTTGCAAAAATAGAAAACTTAAGTCAAAGTTAATCTGTCCTGCACTCTGTTTTGTGGCTCAGTTTCACATTTTCACATAGTTTGTGTTTTCTGCAGATTATTTTTGAAGCCATCCGAGGCCCAACACTACGAAGTGATATTGCTATTGATGACATCCATTTTAAAAGGGGACCGTGTGAAGGTCAGTTTAATACTCAGTCCTGTTTCACTCTGTAAACATCTGTGTAACAGAGGTAAATCAATACTCTATGCATTGTTTAATGGGTAGAGCTCTAATATCTGTCTTGTCCTCTCTTTCAGATCCTGGTGACATCACTCCATACTCAGGCTTCTCAGAGTATTTCAATGAGATTGAGAACTGAGACTGACGGGACGTCTGTCAGTATAAATGTTTGGTAGTTTTTCAGAGATGGGCTGGGTGGTTTTCAGAAGTGTGAATGTGAACAATGCACCAAGACAATTTACAGAGTTATAGAGTAATGCTTATGTTGCAGCCAGGACCTCCACCACACATACTGCTGACTCTCTTCATGTACTAGTCCAGTCATTCTGATGCTTGTGCTATTATTCAGTGTTTCTCTGACCACAGTTCAAGATCATGGAATTGGGTTACACACTGGGGAGTGGTTGTGATTCCTCCTCGTCACAACATTATCCAATTACATCTCACAATAGTCCCACCTTGTTCTCATGACACTACAATCCAGTGTTATGCACAAAAAGCCATACAGATATTTGCCAGTAATGCTAGAAGTCAATAGCTATTTAAGTTACAAAGCACAACTGCTCTGCCATTTTCACTCAGAGCTCGATAGAGATAACCAACACATAACTGAGTGTTTGCCCAGTTGCTTTTCAGTTGAAACTAATGAGCTGGAAGCTTGCTTTAAAGCCAAACCTGAAACATAATTTCCTTTGGTCCTTTAATTGTGGTGACTTACTAAATTATCACAAAAAAAGAGTGGCAAACAGAAGTTTATGATACTTACATTTCTGGTTCAGCAAGATAATCCTCACAAATAAACACCTCATTTGTGATTTTGAAGCCTAAATGCCATCGCTAAAAGTACAAAGCCAGCATTCGGCTATAAATGAACTATGGTCGCATGACTTTAATGCCGCTGCAACAACGAGGCTGTGAAGCCATTGATGTTCTATAGTCTCAAATAGCCTCTTCTTAGCAACCGCCTTTTTTAGGACACATAAAAGCTTCATAATTCACAAGTGGAGTATTTACTGATGTGTTTTATCTCGTAGAACAATATGTGAAAATCTCTTAAGCTTGTGTTAAACCTTATTTCAGGCATCAAACCAAATCCAAGTCATTCAACAACAAAAAAAAAAAAAACAACACATCGACTTCCAGATGAGGGAAGTGGGAGTGCTAAAATGTTTACTCATTTCTGAGTTTTAGGACTTATTCCAAGAGCACTCTAGGGTACAGAGAAAGAATATCATACCATAAAACTTTGATTAAAAGCCTGGTCCCAATTAAACATCCAGTCCCTTTCACAATTTACACGTTTTTACAAATAACACATTTTGACAAATAACACCTGTCTCAATTAGAGGCCTGGTCTGTTTGCCAAGCAGTTCATTTTTATAGAAATTCTTCAGTTGTATACAAGCAAGTTGTTGGCTACCTTAATTTATGTGTCTATTCCTCGATTACCCTGTAAGTTGGTCATATTCTTTTAGTCTATAAGAATCCTCTGATCAAAAGAGTCCAAAGGGTTTTTCAAAAAAGCCTTATTGGGCTTTAAGACTGTATGGAAAAGAAGAACATGTTGGTGCATAGTGGCACTGGGCCTTGACTGCTGCCATGTGGAAACAAAGCACACATCCAAATAACAACACCACCAAAACATCAGGATTAAGCAATACTCCTTTTATTTGGGCTTCCACTGTTGCACTATTGTTTGTTTGTTTGTTCACTCTGTTCTGTATATATTTGTTTATAGTGTCTGATTTTTGAATTTACAAATGGATTGAGATTCAAGAGATGGGAATGTCCAGAAATCTTCTGTTAGGAACACTTAGCTGCTTTGCTGTGGACAAGTGTAAAGTCTAAAAGTCAGTACCATGCAACTGTGCTAATATTTCTCATATCTCATCTCAGAATATAAACAAAGTTGTGCAGGTATTTTTTTTCATTGGATTTCATACAGTATTGTTAAATATTAGCTCCACTGTGACAATGGATTTGAATCCAGCTTCAGTCTGAAGTCACAATCTAGGTGCTTACAGATATCTGACACTTTTTTAAAGGTAAATCCTGTTTCATGTGTACATCAGTATCTTTTTGAAGGCATGGATTCAGTGAGGTGCTGGAAACCTTCCCTAGAGGTTTGATCCATGCTGACTCATTAGCATCATACAGTTCCTGCAGACTTTTCAGCCATACATGCTACAGATCTCTGCAGACTTCTGAGTGTTCTGCTGTGGATATACATGTTCCTCTGTACACCACTGTGGAGCTGCTCTTGTACCTTGATCCTTCTGTTAACCAGACTGAATGAGGGGATGTGGGCAGTGAGTCAGAGGTCTGGAACCAGACTATTTCCTGTTAGCTTCCATGCTGACCTGTACACTCATGGTTTCTTGTTTACTCACCATTCTGTCAGCTCCAGACACTATAGTGCATGAGTTTATGGTTATCTCCTTGACCATGTTAGTGTGGATATTTTTAATGACATTTTTGACAAAATATCAAAAAAAAGAGAGAGAAAAAAAAGGCTGCAACACAATATGGTGTCCCACAAATAATGTACATTCAATGTATTAATTTAACCCTGAACTTTGACTGCTAGAACTGGTGACTATCAGTTTTTATAAATTTGTCTTCAAACCACTTAATGTTTTTCTTGTGTGTGCTTTATTTGGATGAAATCCATTTAATGGACCACACTATATTGGAATACATAATTACGTTTTTACTGCAGTCAGACAAGATGTCGTTTTGAGGCATTTTATTTTCTGTGATTTTCTATTCTTGTCTCTTTTTTATCAGGTCTGTAGGGTACTTGCAGGATATATACACTATATAAAGAAAAAGGCAACATAAACAAAACAGCAATGTATCTATCTCAACATAAGACATAATATTCACTAATGGTTTCTTTCTCAATGCATCATGACCCTGAAACTCTGTAGGTTGAAGAACACTCAGAGCCACTAGAGGGCAGTCAAACACCACCAACATGCTGTTTCTCTGCCTACAGCATCGAGTGCACCAGCAGTATTAATGAGGTAGTCATTATTATTAGTAGTAGCATTTTTATTATTAGTAGTATTATTTTAGATATTTTATGCATTCAGTTATAACTGAAAATGATGATGTAACAAAATACACATTTCAAATATAGCTCATGTGTGACTGTTGGGGTATCTGCTTGTTTCTGTGTGACAGAAAAGAACAAAGCCTTGCTCAGATATTAAGATGGCTAAAGTCTGATAGGAGACGAGACCTCTAACAGGATGCTCCACCTCTTCAATTAGTCCACTCCAACATTTTCCTTGCCATCACTTGTAGGACCATTGGTTTACATATGGATGTCTGCGCCATTATCTTAAAATGCAAAAGCAATCATGTTTCAGTGTTTTATTTGAGATTTCTGTTGGGAGGAATATAGCATTTATTAGCATCACTGCAACTTCAGCTAAAATTTCCTTGCTGAAAACTTCCTTAATTAGCTTTAATTTCTGGCCTATGCAAAACCTCAGATATGCACAATTTAATGGATAACATGTTTTTGCTGGTTTCACATAACCTTAGCTAAAAACAACTATACTATGAAGCCTTTTGTGGTCTGTTGTTTAGTTTTCTATTTTAGCCCAAAACATTGAGAGGTCAATAAGCATTTAGCTTTAGCTTGCATGTTGGGCAGCATATATTTGTAAGGAAGAGTAAATATAGTATTCCATGTTTCACCATCAAGAGTCTGGTCTGTCCAGCTATATTTAGCAGATGGGACTCTCGGAATCTGAATATCTAAGAAAAAGTGAATATCTATTTAAAGTAGCCTATTGTCAAATTTTTTTGTTGTTATATTGCTGTATATATTTGAGTTGCAGCGTGATAAGGATATGATGCCAGTTGGCAGTGTATTTTCTTGTACTGAGAACCTACAGTGACATTTCACTCAGAACTGACACATGCCACTAGAGTGAGAGTGGCATACTGTCAGCTACTTTCTATTGTTGGTGTCACTTAAAAAATCCTGCACACTGTTGATCACTTGTTCTCACTATATGCAAAAGATATAATGTAGTAAACATTGTTATAGCTACATTTACATAAACATAATAAGTATGTTTATCTGCCAATAAAAGTTAAACACAAATTCTGGTCTGAGAGCCCAGTTAGTCATTTTGGGCAAAATAATTGACAGCAGTCTCCAGTTTTAGTGCCTTTTAAATAAAATGTGAAGGTGATTTGAATTTGAATTTTTCAGACTTTGGTGATCCCCGGTGGTATTTCAAGGAACAAACTGTGGCAGACAGTAATGCATACTTATGGCCTGATCTGATCTATGCACAATACATACAGAGCTGCAGTTCTTTTCACATTTCCCTACAAGCTATAATTTATGCTGTCAGAATAATATTAAAGCTACTGTCATCACATAAACATTCTACACAGATGCTTCATTTGCCGGGCACATGAGTGAGACTCAAAGGCTTCTTGTGGTGATCTCACTGTCTGGATCTGCTGTCAGCTTCTCTTTAACTGGAACACAGAGGGCATGGGAAGAGTACAGAGGAAAACAAGTGAGTCATTTAAAATTCATTCTTTCATATAGAAAATCTCCCGGGAACGATAAGACATCCAAACAGGGTCTAATCACCATCTTCTTGCACAACAGCCTCTGAATCAACTATGCCTCAACGTCCACGACTTTATTCACAAAAGGACATGCCATGTTCCTCCTTCCTGCTACACCCTCAGCAGACGAGCAGCCTCAGGCTTAGATGAAGCAAACCTGCTAGCCAGCTGGTTTGCTTCACAGAGTATGTTGCCATAGTAACTGACTCGGGATTAAGCTGAACTGGCTCTGTGAAACAGAAAAGTCAGAGTTTCCCTCATCTCAGGCTCAACATACTCAGAGTTTTCATTACTCCTGCTTTCTGAAATAGGGCCCTGGTTGCACAAAGAGCAACAAAGATATTTGAAGCTTCACTCCAAGATCCACCAGGAGGATACAATACAACACAAGATACAGTATCAATTTAATGTTTGGTCTTTATTTTGCTGCTCGTTTTTTTCTGCTAGCTTGATGTCTGATATCAATCAAGTAAGAGACAACATCAGTTGTTGCCAGATCTCATGAGAATGTCTTGCTAAAAGAGAGACATGTCTCTATCAAAGTTAATTTCCTCCTTCTGATTTTTCAGTCTGAAAAATCTATTTTAGTGTCAAAAAGTTTAAAAAAAATGGGTCCAGTACTTACCTCAGTGACTGAGGTGAGAGAATTGGTCATAATCTGTACATACGTTCACTTTTCCCATGTGAATAAATAGACTCAGGACCGTCACCCACCAGGGTTTAAGAGAATTTAGGGAATTTCAGTGTTTAGTACTGGTAGATATGATTCTGTTTTGTTAAGGAAACTCAGCTTGACTAACTTATTTTGTAACTAGAGTCTTGTGAGAGTGTGAAAAATATTGTGTTTGTGTGTGTCAGTGTAGGTTGTGTTCAAGTGAAGGCGTAGAGTGTGAAATTAACGGGATTAAGCACTTACTGTAAGCATTTATCTGAAGTTGTAAATCTTGGATGAACTCAGGTTGAATTCAGCTGTCCTGTTAGAGAAAGAGAGGAGCAGGAACAATAGCAGGGTGACAGGTCGACACGAACCACAGGACACAGTCATTATACCTCTCAGAATAAAAAAGGCTAAATAAATTATTGAGGGACTGATGCCCTTGCAGTGGGAAGCAACTAATTAGCTAGTCATCATTAGTGGAAGTGGTCAGTGTGTGACAGTTGTGAAACGATTGATTGCACACAGCGATTTGGTCAACAATCCCCTGAGGTTAATCATTGACAGGATGGAGGGGTCAAGCTCTCCATGGCTCAATAACCCTTCATCTGGAACTCACTGAGAATTTGTCTCAAGAACCGTCACTCTTCAAATCACAGATAGCTCCCAACTTTATGGAGAGATTAGAGACATGGAAGGGAGGATGAGGAGGAAGTGGGTTCAGCTGAGCAACAAGCCGTCTGAAATCTACTGATAAACTAAAAGCGATAGAATACCCAACACAATATGGACTATATTTTATGTACAGTCTGTGTTATAACAGACTATTATAAACCACATATGCTTGATTGGATTCTGCATTGTTTCTTTGGTGAAAATCAGGCATCACCCATTTGACACTATTTGAAAACTGTGATTATCAGAATGTAATCTGCCCCATGAAATCTATTCCGATTTCATGGGGCATTTCTATTCTATGCTCTAGTCCCATAATCCTGACTTTCCCAAAATGCCTGCAAGCAGTCTAGTCACCTGAAGAAAATGTTGGCATTGTACATTTCCCCCAAACCAGGTATTTTAACCTTTTCAAAGCTAAGCCTATTTTATAGGCCTCTGCTCGAAAATTGCATACTCATAATGAAATGAAATATCTCTGCAACCACAAGGTCTATTTGAATACTTTTGGTGTCATGGTAAAGGGAACACTTGTGAGATTTGTTAAGATGTGTAAATATAAGTGTGTTATATGTGAAGAGTAAATGAAGACGGCACACAGCACAAATGAAACATTTTGAGGTTCGCCTAAAAAAAGCATTTTCAGGATGAGTATCCCTTTGGAATGATGCAGCTGCAGCTCTAAACCTCTATCACATCATAGTACAATATGTGAACATTAACTCTGCAAAGGTTGATTCTGATAAAGTGAAGCAGAACAATATTAGAGAGGTCTTAGTACAGAAAATTCAGGCGAGCTCTCCAAAATTGCATCATGTTTGCATGTGATTTTTGTCATGTACAATCCTATATCTTTCATTTTTTGTTTCTGTAAATCCCTAATGATGTCCATTTTGTTTTTTCCCTATATTTCCATCTCCAAACTGACTGATACACACTTACTACATTTGAAACTGATTTCTATTCTGAGTTTTAGAGGCCCATATCTCCGTGACGGCTTGGCCAATTTGAGTGATTGACACCTCGTTTGATTCGTTAGAGCCAATAAAATGACGCTATACCCACCAAAACGAGATTGACAGCACTGTAAGCCAATCAGAGTCAGCAGAACGCGTTGTGCGATCGGCGCACAATGCATGCCGGTTAATTTTGTGTCCGACTTCATCCCGACTTGCTCTGACGTATTACAAAAGTGGATGGCGATAAAGCCGCGAGAGCGAGGCGGCCGCAGTTTTTAGAGCCAGGCGCTGCAGTTGCTCTCCACCGACTGCACCGCCTGGCTCTCACCTGATCTATCAGCTGATTGGTTAAGATGCCGACTCAACAAGATGACGTTTTAGATAGACTACTCATTTTTGTTGAATTTTAGAGTTTAAGATTGTATTTGTCTGATCTTAAGGTTTATTCTCTTAACAGAAAACATGTTGTGTGACTGATGGTGAAAACAAACTGATATATGGGCGCAGTAGATGAACTGCGCCTCGCCTGGAAAGTAGACGAGAGCAGGCGGCCGCAGCGGGGGGCGGTGACAAAAAGCTGCGGTGAAGTCGGACAGTTTCCCGACAGTTTCCAGCAGCCTTCAGTCCTTGCAGGAAGTCACAGACACACTTACATCCTGTCTGGAATGATGTCAATTCATTAAAAAAGTGATCAGACCCATATATCAGTTTGTTTTCACCATCAGTCACACAACATG